GATGCAAATCTTATTGGCTTCATTTCACTCACATGCTTTCTTTCATAATGTACTATTTAGGCTTAGTGGTTGATGACATCTTTGTACCTGGTCAGTTTAACTGATGGATGGAGCTATGCTGTGACATATGCAGAGTGGAGTTTTGATGAGCTACAAAAAAGGAAAAGACTGAAAACACTATCGGAGAAAACTGAATTTGTCAGATCACAGAACTATTTTGTTTCTGCTGAATATCCAGATTCTGAAAAATTGTCTTTATCTGATACTGTTGCTAAGAAATACTGAACTACTCTTTACTTTTACCTACAATGACTACTTGAACTTGATTGTCCTGCACTGACTTTGCATGTACAAATATACATACTGTATATGCACTATATATCTTTTTTGTCATGTTGGAAAGTCTCAGAACTATGCAGAGTATCTCAGGCTTTGGAAATTCTCTGTTGTACCAATGTTTCATCATTGGGTCAACATCACATTGTACACAGCTTTTTGAAAAGATTGAAAATAAATAAGTGCTGCTGTCTGACGTTTTGTTTCCACATTTCTTCCCCTGTGATGACATAACTTGTAGTCCAACGTCTTACTTAAAATGATGAATAATTATTTGACTTTTACATGGAACATCTTCTGTGAAGTATGTGTGCTGATACATTTTGGAGGAGTCTATGCTGCCATATTTGTGTTGATTTTTATATCCCAAATCTTTTTCTTAGGGGGATAAAACGAGTCAGACACATATCAGTGTGCAATCACATTCAATCACAGCTAAGCCCTCAGCCTCTCAAGGGGGGACCTCTTTATTCCTAATCACACTACTGATCTGCTGCTAATGGTTACATGTTTTTTATATTTTTTCAATCTGTTTTTCATATCAGCTCAGTTGATGCTGGTAAAAGAAAGTGAAGCTAATTGTACCCTTTCAATACTATTAGTCTAAGCTTGATTGTTTTATATATATATATATATATATATATATATATATAAAGTGTGATATATTCTTTTTTATGTTTTAACTTTGGTGACTGTCTTTTATCTTTGTAGCAATCTCATTACTATTTGTGTCTCATTTTAGTTCGACAGATGAGCAGTTTCGCTGGAATGCTCAAGGTAAATTTTTCTTTAATTCTTTGTTTTTATCCTTACATTCATGTGTTTGACAACCAACACATCGTGTTGTAATGTACATTGTTTCAATGCTCAGACAGTCACAACATTTCCCCCCTCAATTATAGAAAGCATCAGTCTTTCATGAGTATAAAATATATCCCCCTTTACAGTTTTCCAGTTTTAACCTTTTTCTTACTGGTCAGTGTTTCTAATCATCAAATACACTAAAATTAAATCGATTTTATTCACAAAGAAAAAAGCAACCTTAACAACTTGTGACAAAAACAATAATTGACATAACTGATTGTGTCCATCCATCCATCATCCATCCATCCATCCATCCATCCATCCATCCATCCATCCATCCATCCATCCATC